CTTCCTCCACAGGCGAATATGCGATCCGATTTTAGCATCTGTGTGCAGATACAGAAATGTCCTCTAGAACTTGATTTACTGTCTACCTGGGACAACAGATGCTTCTCAATTAAGCACTCAGTTAAGGACTCTGTTGTCTTAATATAAGCACCACGATGGTGATCCAGAAGTAAAAAAATTCTGCATCACATAACGGGTTCACTCAATCTTCTAGGCAGTGATTTTTATTCTAAAGTAAATCAAGGGAGTGACTAACCCACCTTCTCTCTACCCTGAGAAGGCAGACATACCACCTGGGAAAAAAAAAAAAAGTAACTTAACTTTCCCCCTCCATTGCAAATGAATTTTCTTAGCTTAATTGACTTCATGTGGTTTTATGCCCTTCCTGTTTTTAACAGCCAGTCAGAATGAAACCACTTCTGGACTAAAACTAATGGTAAGTCACAGGTAATGAAAAATCTGTACTCCAGACACTCCCACAATGAATGAAACGGCTTCACTGAGAAGGGTATAGAAGTAATAAACTTGTAATAAATGTCAGAAAGATGTGAGCCCTTTATTGGAAAAAAACCTCATGTACTGCTTTTAACAACTGAAGCTGTCAGTTATATAAATGATAATGTGCATCGAGGGAAAGTAAGCTATAAATCCTTTACCTTTGAAATGAAATTTTATCAAACATGAGGAAATAGGTTGATGACAAAATTAATTATTTGGTAATGCCAAATATAGATGCATCTGGCTATCAGTGTTTTGAATTCAGAGCGAAAAGGATTTTCCCAAATATTTTCCTGCATCACAAGTGCTTTGCATCCAAAAGTGCCTTGGTCATTTTGATCATCCTCACCCTCATACTGAAACCAATTCTGGAATATTATCTTTACCACCGCTGATGGGTACTGAGCAGAGATTCGAGGGCCAGTTGCAGTATGCACACAGTCAAACAGCAGGCTGTGGCGGTCAGAGGAACCACGAGAAGAAATGCTCTTTACCATTTCCAGCACAGGTCGGTCCACTGAGTCCACACAGACCTCAGGGTGTTCCACACCGACTTCTGGCTGGACCTGAAATGGAGATGTGAGATTCTTTCTGGGTCCACGCCCGTAGAAAGAGACTCAAATGCAGTGCAAAGGCTTAGGCTTGGTTCTGTGTGCTTTTCTGTTTCTCTGATTTTACTCATCTCTTTAAATCTGAGGCAGACTGACGTATCTAAATAAGAAGCAAAGCATGGAGCACTATTAATGCTAATGCCCTTACTTCACTTCCATTACCAGAGAAATATATTCTACTCTTTAATTAAGAAAACAGAAGCAGAGGTAAATGATTCTAGGAGAGGACTAGCAAGAAGCAGCCTGAGGTTTTACCCTTTATAAATAAGGCAGGCAAGCCACAGGCAGTTACTAAGATGTACAAGAAAAAATGAAATTGAATCACAAAGCCCAGATGACATTTGTCTAAGAGTCTTGAAGAAACTAAAGTCTGAAGTAACTGAACTACTGCCAAATGTATGTAATTTATCATTACACACACCTACTATATCAGATGAGTGGACTAAGTGTCATACCCTGCGTTAAAAAAGCTCTAAGATTTGTGTTCAAGACATAAAGGGAGTACAGGGCATAAAGTATTTAAATGCAAGGGTATTTCAACCTTCTTGTATAGGGCAGGAAAATTTATCTCAAAGGTTATCCAATTTCTCTTCAAATGGTAAAGCCGGGCTGTGGAGTCGTACAGGAAGTCGCCATCAGAGGAGGCATGGGATTAACTGATGCATTAGCTGTGATTGCTTTAATGTTATAAATGATACTTCATGGGGTTGATGAATAGTTACATTTGGTTTACCTGTGGTTCTGCATTTGAAAAGGTAATATAGCAAAAGCAATAAAATTGAGTAAGTAGAACAGTATAGGCTGCTATTACCTAAAAAATAATAAATGAATTACACTGAAAGGCAGTATACATGCAATAACTGTCAGCCTGTTATCTATCAGCCCATTTTATTTCTATTAGGTGGTAGGAAAGAGTTCAATATTTTGTGTAATTATTGATGTAAAATGCAGATGAAAATGAATTGGCTTCTTCCTTCAGCTCTGTTTTCCTCTCTGCATCAGATCATACACAAGTCAACTGATCTGTTCTAGGAAATAAATATACGTAATTTTTTTCTCCAGCCTCACCCGCCAGAAACAAAAAAAGGTTACCTTCTGGCATGACAGATTGGTTAGAAGGTCGTGGTAGATACTCCAGTAGAGCTAGGACGACATTTTTTGGCACGACACTATCTAAATTTTAAGTAATGCAACACAATACTTGAAAGTACTTTTCAAGAAAAAGCACTGATTTTATTTAAGCGCTATTCAACTCCAGCTTGTAAAAGCTTAGCAGACATGGACTTACGCAGGTCACACAGTCAACCTACTGATAACCGGTCTGACTGCGATACCGCTTACGTATCTGGAAAGCAAAGGGATGTTCTAGATTCCTATTTTCTTGGGAGGCGGGGAGAAGAAAAGTTCCAGTAGGAAAAACAAAACAAAACAAAACAAAAAAACAATAAAAATGCACAGGGGAAGATGAGGGTGAGTGGAGATGGGGAGTGGCTTTCGTAGAGGGGAAACTGAAGTGATCTGACCTTTTCTTCTGCCTGTAAAGGCTAAGGGAGAAGAAAGACTGAAGCCTGTGAAATCACAGATGTCATAAAAAAGCATAGTAAAAACAACTGTCCACCGTTTCTCAGAATACATGAATGGAAGACCACCCAGTATCAAGCAGCAAGTACACAGCTGATGTGGTGAAACTGAGGTACGTCTATACAAAATGTACAATTAATCTTGAAACTCTATGGCTCAAGCTGTTGTTGAAACCAAAAGTCAAGACAAATTAAAATAGACATTAAGAGAAATTCATAGAAGATCTATAAATAGATGTTAAATGCAATGGTCTGAAGGCAGCCCCCACACTGGAAACTCCACAGTGCTAATTGCTGGGAACACAGGTTGCTGAGAGAATATTTTATTTTTTTGCTACTCCGTCCTCTGTTTTCCAAGCATCCACTCCACTGTCTTTGATTCAATCAACTATATCCATTCTTATGTGCCCTTCACCGTCACACATTAGGCATGATGGAATTTTTTCCTGAAAAATGAGATTGATTTCGACATGGCTACGGGCATGGGGCCCACCCACCGTAATTTATCAGACAGATGCTTTGGTGCAAACCCCACACTGTTACACAAGACATACATTTAAAGTTTGTATATCCACCCTTGCATGCTAAGACTATGTAACCCCATAGAAAGTAAGTTTGGAGAAAGAAGTCTTTCCTCGGCCTTATGTATCATTTGGCCACGATATATTAAATGATAAGTAAACCAGAAAATAATAGCAGACAAGCCAGATAGGTTACTTCAGAACTACCGACATGAAAATTGAAGCACAAAATCTTTTTGAAACAGAAAATATCTTTTATACACTAGTTTAAAGATCTGTGCGGTTGCACTGTCAGGAGCTTGTTGAAAGTATCTCAGTAACATTTGGAGGTTTGTTATTTTCATGAATAAAGATAGCAGCTGTCTACTATACAAACTAAAAGGAAAACTGTACTGAGAAGTGAGCATTTCTCCTCTGTGACAGTGCACGGTTACTAGTCAGGTGGCAAAAAAAAGTCCTTCCATGAGACAAAATTGCTCTGAAGTATTTTTAAACTGCTTTTTCAAACAGGTGGCACGCTCAGAATCCAACATGGCATTAGGACTGAATGAATAAAGCACTCGCTGAATTTTGCCGTTTCTTTTGAATTCATTACTTCTGAAGGAGGGTATTGTTTTAAGGGTGCCAAACTCTTGTGGATTGTTATTTTCTTCCACCGTGACAGCTCACCTTCTCCTACTTGCAACAAACATGCTACTATTAGCATTAAAAATAAGCAGAGGAAGAATACTTTGCACTTACACAGGCAGCATCCATTCCTGCATCTTAACGTACTTTACAGGAAGCAATTAATGCTTACAACGCCCGTGCGAGGTTAGAGATAAGAAAGCTGCAATGCAGAGAAATTGCCTTGCTCATCCTCAGAGAAGCACGTAACTGGATTTCCAGTCTTGCACTCTAGCGCTAGACCGAATTCTCTGCTTTGCTTGTATTGAGTCTACCTTAGGAATCATTTAAAACTTTACAGGCTATGTATCGTATACACCGAACAGACTTTGTACCCCAAAGCAATGTTAACAAATTTTGAGCAATCTTTCGGTATGTTTTGGGAAACAAAGGCCATCAAATAATTTGTTTAAATGTTATTTTAGAACATGCTGAAAAATGCTTTTATTAATTATTTTGTAAGGGTAATGAAAAATACAAAGTGCCAAGAGGTTTCTCCTCCTCCTATCAAAGCAGCTAGCTTATGCAGTTAGCTTTCAGTGTCAAAAAAGATGTTACAATAAAATGGGGTAAGTCAGGACTTTTTCCACTTTGCTTCAGTGCTGCCAAGTCTGGTCACGCACAGACAGGAAGAGGGGAAAGGAGCACACGGAGATCGACCCACTGTATCAGAATGCAAAGCTCCCTGGACCTTTTATCCAATATCTACTGAGAAAAAAGTTAATGCCTATGCAGTCTTTACCGGGCTACTCGTGTAAACCGGATGGATAGCTTTTTTTTCTTTCGCTTTCCTAACAAGAGAAATTTCCCTCACAAAAGTAATAAAATTTCATCCAACCCTGATAACGCGCTGCCGCTTTTGATACAAGAGGTGGATCCTTTTTTTGGTAGTAAGATCTGTGGGTGATGATTTGAAAAAAAAAACCCTAACCGTACGTGTAGGAAAGCACTGCTCTGCTAGGGTGTAAAGACCCTGGGAGAGGCAGCAGAAGCTCCCTCCGATTTTCACCTGAAGAATGGCGAGAGACACCTGCTTCAGGGCCACACGTTTCAACGAAGATTAATCGGGTTATTTATTTTCAAATGGAGGAGCGCAACATTTTGAGATGCGAAGCGTAACTTACTCCGGGTTCTCCGGCAGGATCTGGCCACCGGGGCTGGGATCTGAGGGCAGGAGTGGCTCGACGCCGGCACCGGGAGCGTGGGGAGAGCATTAATGAGAATCGCTTTTAATTGTCAATTCAGTTTAAGGCTCCGGCGGGCAGCGAGGAGCCGGCGGCCACCCCTCAGGCTGCCGACCGCCCTCAACCCCCCGGGAGAGTTGGGGAGCCGCGCCGGGTGTCGGCGCGGATCACCCCGGCGGCTGACCCGGAGTAGATAGAAACACTTTTAATCGCTTTAACAGAGGGATCCTGTCAGTTTTTGTGGGCATCCCCCCCGCCCTTTTCCCTACGCTGCCACCAGCTCCTGACTAACCCGCTCGCCACCGGCGAGGCGACAGGCGGGCACGGCCGCCCCGCTGCCGCCCCCACAGCGCCGGCCTGAGGGGCTGGGGGAACGCCGGAGGGGGGGACGCTGATTTTCTCCAGGTTTCGACCCAAAATAGCGGGGGTGGGGGTGTGTCGGTCGGATCGCCTGACGGTGGGGGATCGCTGCCCGCCTCCGCGCCTTTTCCCGCTCCCTTCCCTCCTCGCCCGCCCACACCGCCGCCGCCCCCCCCCCGCCCGCCGCTATTTGTGAGGCGAGGAGCCGCCTCCCCGCACCTGCCCGCCCGCCCCTTCCCTCCCTCCGCGGACACGGCAGCCTCCGCGCCCGCTGTGGGGACACCCACCTCCTCCTCCTCTTCTTCTTCCTCCTCCTCCTCCTCCCCGCCGGCCCGGGCCGAGCCGGAGCCCCCAAGTATCGCGGGAGCCGGGCGCTGCCGCAGCCATTGGGCGGAGGCTGAGGCGCGGAGCCGAGCCCGGCGCAGCCCGGGGGCCGCCGTCCCGCCGCGCCTCGGCGGCCATGAGGAGGAGGAGGAGGGGGGCGGCGGGGCATCGCCGCCGCTGCGGGGGGTCGGCGTCCCGCCGCAGGTGAGCGGGGGGGGGGGCGGGCGCTGTGCCGGGAGCGGGGGGGGGGGGGTCTCCGTGTCCCCCCCCCCTTTCGCCCTCACCCGTTTGTCAACTTGCGGTGTGGCGGCGGGAGCCGCTGCAACATTTATCCGCGGATAAAGCCGCCCTTATCCCTTCCCTGCTGATTCCAGACAGCGCTTTTGCGTGACGGGGCGGGGGGCGCTTTTTTTTTATTTTTTTTTAAATTTTATTTTATTTTTTTTTTTTCCTGTTGAGCGGGGTTAAGCCTGAGCTGAAGCGCCGGCTCTAGACAGCGCTGTGTGGTGATCTGCCGTTCAACCCGCGTCCCGGCGCGCAGTTTCCTCGCTGACAAACTGGTATCGCCTCCGCTTTTTGAGGTTACAGAAAAGGTCTGAGCGTCCCTGGGAGATCCCGGCTCGAGGGTGCTTGTGGTAGAGGTGGAAGAGCGTTTCGGGCGGTGGATTTTGGGCCGTGGGTCTCCAGGGCTCTCCTCAGCCCGGCTCGTTCCCCCCTTTCCCAGCGCCGGGCTGGCGCTGCTGGGATTTTGCTGAGCCGCTCCCGTTCCTTTCGACTGAGTGTAAACAGTCAAACCCCAGTGTAAATGGGGCTTGGCACAGCTGGTTTTGAAGCTAGGGTTTTCCTTCAGAATGCTGCGAAGTTGCAGGATGCCAGCTGTTTTCCCAAGGACTGGGTAAAAGCTTCTTTCGAGCTACCAGAAAATAAAGTTTAATTTACCGTTTTTGATAAGAAATGTTAGCAGTCTGAAACAGTAAAGAAAAAAAAAATAACTGCTAGAGCTGACATTTTTTCCTCTTTGTTGTAAAATGAAAACAGCCTAAATATTTATTTGGGTGCTCCTGGGTGGCTGGAAATAGAGGAAAGGAACAACGAGAGATAGAGACGTACTCAGAATTATGCAGAGGAAAGCAAGAGGCAGAGATTATTTTGACTGGTCAATGGCTACTGGACTGTGAGGAAAGAAATGAGGCCTTAAAGCTCGTTTTGTTTTTCAAGTAGTCTTTTTTTATTTTTCCTCAGCTGTGCCCTTGGTTGATAGCCCATCTGCTTACCGGTGATCTTGATTGTTCTGTGTTCAGTGGTAAAAATCATGCGAAGGTGCTAAAGCTAATGAGGACGGTTAAAAAAAAACTGGTATAACTTGAAAAGTGGTACTTTATCTTCTGATATTTTTTTAGCTAGACCTGTTTCTAGAAATGCTTTAGGATTTTTTAGATATAAAAAGTGGTTTTGGATGGCATTAAACTGAGAGCATGTAATACGGCATAAATTTGGATCCCCCTGGGGTTAGCTTTTTGAAGTTTAGAAGTGATTTCTTCACTGAAGCGGAGTGCTGAGAAACAGAGCATATGCTGTATGCGTGTGCTGTGTCCTCCCCTCTTTGTGCTCATACACGAGTGATCGGTGTTTGCGAGTTCCCGAAGATGAGTGTGCGCGATCAGGAGATGCTGATGCTGGTAGAACAGGGTGGAGAGGCAGACTCACAGTCTCCTCTCTGACTGCGGATGAGCTTTAAGAAAATACGAGTGTAAACAACTGTGCCTTTCAGGCACAAATGAAGACTGAAGGAGAGGAGGTAAGCCTACGTAGTTCTGGGATTTATGTCTGTTAACATCTGCCTCCCACCTGCCCCAGAAAAAGGAATGATCCTTCCTGAACGTTCACGAAGGAGAGGTGACGTATCTGTTTCCACCATCTGTACCCCTAAGAACCCTCTTCATAGGGGAGAATAAGTTGGAAAAACATTCCTTGTCAGCCATAGCAAAAGCTCAAGACCGGTTTATATTTGGGAATGTGCAGAATTGGGTTGAGTTACTTTCCTTGTAATGTGAAGTGCAGTTGTTCTGGGTTGAGGCCAAGTACAGCGGAGAGCTACCTAACCCCACTGTCCGATGACAGAAGGATTAAGGCAGAAGAAGAAAAGCAGAATCTCTTGCAAATAAGAAGCTGGGAAATCTTACCGTGCTTTTCTATGTAAGACACAATTTTAGTGGGGTTTGTGCATTAGCAGGTGAATTCAAGAGAACAATTTCCCTGAAAATATGTGAGAATTAAGTTCCATTTGTCTGCACATCACTTCTGTGGATCTAGGAAAATACAGTTTGGTGGGGTTTCCTTTTTTTTTTTTTTTTTTTTTTTTAATCCAATAGAGGCAGAGCTGTGTACGTTTAACAAACCTGCTTTCTTCAAAAATGTTGAGATGAGTGGGGAAAGAAAAAAAGGATTGGACAGTGCATATTCCAATTCTGTGATGATCAGTTTTAAGTTAGAGTAAGTATGATGTGACAACTTATTGCTTGTCAAAAATGGCTTTTGGTATTGACAAGCTTTGCTTTTTCCACGGCTGTTCTTCCATTAGATTGGAAGAAGTGAGGGAGTTCTGGTCTCCCAGCACTTTAAAGCAGTTCCTTTGGCCTTAGGATGTAGAAAAAAGACTCAACAGGTCCTTCTCTTCACAAAATAGGTGAACTACCTGTTCTCCATGGGTGAGGGTACCTCCTCCCAGCTTGTGGGAGCAGGAGTGCCTTACGGTTGCTGTTTGCTTGACTGATTTTCAGGTTCAAGTCGATGACTAATGCTGAGTGCTGTGCTCCGGCTCTTCTGCACTAGTACTGCATGGTGCTGAGCGTGGGTTTGTGCCGTGGCCTTGACCTGTACACCTGCATCGAGTAGCTTACTACCCTCTGAGGTGATGCAGAGCAAGAAGTGGCTCTTACAAACAGGACTCAGGTAGGAGACTGTCTTACAGAAGGCAGTGGCTAGTTCTTTGGTGACGTTCTGGTTCCAGCAGTTTGAAGTTTGGGGTTTGCAGTAGTATCTTTGTCCCTTTGGTCAGCGGGCTTGCTGCAATGTGGGTGTTGAATTATTTTTTTGGTGTGAGGTTAACGTTGATAACGAGTACATCTGGGCAGCTGGTCCTGCGTCTCTGGGGGATGCGTGGTGTCCACGCTGGCAAGCCACACGTTTGGCAAAGGTTTGTGGTGAAATCCTCAGGTCCGCGTGGCAACAGCTGCTTGGGCTGTGTTTTCCCTCAGATACTTGTCCTGTAGTTTTTCCCCCTGATCGTTGTGTCCGCTGCCTGCCTTGCTCCAGCGTTTTCTTCTTGTTTGAATTGCTGGGAGACTGGTCCTGGGTCGTATCTGTCAAGTCATCAATACCACTCAAGTACTTGTTACTTTTTAATTTCACTGGTATGTGGGAGAGCACCCACCATCTGAAAACAGGATAAATATAGTCAGGTTAGTCTGCTAATTAGCTGTGACAAGGTCATGCAGCAGCTTACAGGGCGGGTACCTGCCTCTGGCTTGGTCAGTGTAGGTTAGAGAGAGGGGAGATGCCAGGTCTGACTGTTGAGGGGAGGAAAAACCTGTGAAGTCGGTGACCAAAGTCCTTGGATTTGTTTATATCTGTTCCGAGATGGGCTGCGCTTTGGGGGAGGGATGTGGAAAAAGGAATGAGAGGGCTTTGCATCTCTTCTGTGAGCGTGGATTCTACTGTTGAGGGCTGAGTGTGAGCTTGTGCCGTGGCCTTGACCTGTACTCCTATATCCAGTAGCTTATTACCCTTTTAGTTAGTTTGGAACATAGATTAGAACACCTGGGATTGTCTTCTGGTATCTGGATTATGCCCATATTCTTTTGGAGTGTTTTTTATTTTAAGTTGGCTTTACATTTTTTTGTGCTTTGTGCCAACACATTGGTAGAAACAGCTCGGTTTAGTACAAGATTAGTTTCTGAAGACATGGACTTCAAAGGAGGGAGTAAACCCAGGTAAATTCTTCACAAATTTGACATCATTTTCAAGCTAAGTGGCTTACAGTGAGGTGGCTCTGAACACAAAAGCTTTTTTTTTGTCTGAATGTTGGGGATGTGGTGCTTTGAGGTATCGATTCTGGGCGAAACTGGTGCTAGTCATTGCCTGACTCTGGTCTGAACAAAGCAGCGCAAAATAAAGGGTAGGCTTTTATTACACAGAAGTTTGGTTAGATGAATTAATAAGTCTTTTCCACTTTAATTTCTGAGTCACGGAAATGCATTTTAAAATGAAGAATAGGTCTATTGTTAAATGCCAAGCAGCCTATTTCAGGAAAGGAGAGAGGGGGAGAAACTTACCACACAAAACAGTGGATAGTTCTAACTAGAGATACCTGATTTTTTTGTTCCCCCCCCTTTTTTTTTTTTTCTCTTCTTACTAAATGTGAAGGAGCTTCCTGTATTGATCTTGAAGATTGATAGTTCCAGCATTATAAGTTCTTCAGATAGCTATACATGAATTAATAAACTGCTTATGGTATTAAATGACGATTCATGTTTTTTGGTTAGATCAATCTAGTCATAAAACTTTTGTAGGCAAATTATATTTTAAAAGTACTTATTTTAAAATTAAGGTATGCCTTAGAAAGATAGGGTTGCAAACCTCAATAGTTCTTAATGGAAGCTTGCCTCTTCAGTTTTTTAATAATTGCTCTTGTAGCAACTCTGTTAAATTTAATTTATAATGCAATGAAGCACATTTTACCTAGAGCTTAAGCAGTGGACTTTAGCGAGTTAG